ATCGTTTCAATGTTGGCGCTGATGTGCGCAGAAGAAGCACAAAACAACAACAACACACAACAAGAATATAATAAATAAAAAAAGAAATATGGAACAAAACAAGATTAAATGCAGCTAAGGAAAACAATAAAGGCTGTGGATGGGGCAGCAATGGCAGGAATTTTAAGTGGAATCAACAGCAGCAACACTATCGAATACCACTGCCACTACAGCAACATGCTAGTGTTACTACAACTACAACTACTATGCGTACAATAGCGGTAAACAAGAAACGGTTGTTCTACATAACAACCAGTGAGCAACAGCAAAAAACTGGAGTAAGCAAACTGAAATTGAAATTTCAATTAAACAAAAACCACCAAGAACAACAGGGCGAGCAAGAACAAAAACAATTAAAAGCTAAAAAACATCGATAAAAAAATCAAATACAACAATAAACTGTGTATGCGGCAGCATACTGGCACAAACACACACCTGCACACCACACTTAACACTCACCATACACCATACACACACACTACTCATGCACCAACACGTAAAAACTAGTATAAACACCAAAGGCGTCTGCCAAAACAAAAAAGTGCTTGCAACATTAAAAAACTACAGCTAGCTGCAACAGCAACACAAACACAATAACAACAAATTCCACAACAACAATTGTTCGCACTGCATGTAAATGCCCACGAGCAATAATTGAACGTTTACCCTTTTGAATGCCAGCACGGAGACTTTTAGTTTATTGGTCAACAGACGCGCCCACTGAATGCAGCCGATGCGGAATGGTTGGTGCTTACCGATTGGTGGATTTTTGCGATTTTTCTGCAAGTGAAAAATCGACATTTTAAGTTATAAAAATATGAGCAAGGTGCAAATCTATAAATTGGTCATATTCATATTTGTGTTGAAGTGTGTGTTATACTTAAGTAAATTTGGAATTTTAGTAGATTTTTGAGCAATTTCTTAACGTTCATTCTGAAACTACCGGTAAGGAAACCATTATATGAATACTCCTATAAAACACTTAGGTTAGGTTAGATCAGTTTGATAAGCCAATGAGCCATGCTGAGACCAGTTTTGGCCTTTGCGATACCAGATGAAGTTCAGTTACTAGGTACATGAGGTGTAGTTATCCTTTAGTATGCTTGCGCTTGACGCGAATTTCAATAGAATCTGAAGATTCACTATCGATACCTTTTCTAGTTTATCATACCGTGGAACCCACGTGATCTGTAAGCCCAGTTCAGCTGACATACAGTCACTTCTAATGAGTGTTTTGCATCCAGGTAGCTCGTTACGTCGGGTTTCCCAATGTTGATTACGTTTTCGTGTGTTAGCCGTACACCAGTTTTAATTTAATGTTGTCACACTTTCAAGAAACAGTGACCAAAAGGACTGCGTAAAATGAGAAGATTTTCTATTAGTGCGTCTTTATGACCGCAAAACCTTAAGGGGTTACATGGGCTTCCTCGGCTAAAAATCATCATTTTTTCAACAATATTTTTCTTATATAAAAAACATATAAACAAATTGAACGAAAGAAAAAACCTGAATATTAGAGTTTTGACAATTCTACAAAAAATTCAAATTTCGCTACATTTTTCTTTTAAATAGTTGTAATCGGAAAAAAAATCCTTCGTTCAAGTCTTTAATAATTGCATCTCAAAGACGTGTGCAACTTTGAAAAATTTCATTAAAATCGTATTTCTCCAGAAATCTTGCCAACCGACCTTGAAAACACAGTTTTGAAAATAATACGTTCAAAGACGGTGCACTTAACCCGAGCCCATAAGCTCTCAAGACTATATCTCCGAAACTATTACTCGAATCAGAATCGAATGTTTAGAATTTAATAAGACAATAAAAAAAAATAGATTTTTTGAAACCCGTAAACCCAAGTAACCGATTATATGTTCATTTGTACTGAAACTGAGCTATTAAAATTTTAGAAAATAAATTGAAAGTTTTTTGGTTCTAAATCAAATCACGCCCGCAAATTCGTTGAAAATGTCATCGTGTTGACATCAGTGTGATAGAAAAGGATTTCAAAATCTCTTAAATATGAACTTAACACATTTTGGTTAATGTTTTGGTATGAATCTTGTCAATGGTAGACTACAACAAAATGATCTAAATCACTTGCAAAAACGACGACGAGTATAGGTCACAAAGGGGATGCTTGACAGCATAGCTGTGACCCTAAATTCCACTTCCACGACAGTCAGGTTTAAGCAAGCAGAACGGTCGCGGATTTTTATCCGTCCAAGGACTGTCAGTTCGGCACTATTCCTTGAAATCGCTTCAAGAATTTTTTATACCGCGACAACAACAACTCTATATTCATCAAAGACATGTTTACTGGTGACGAGTCGAGGGTTTATGCATATGACGTCGAGACAAACAAACTAGAGACCCAACAAACTAGTGAGTGGCGCTCGAAAAATTAGCAAAATCCGAAAAACCCAACATTGGCTAATTTCACTGAAGGCCATTCCAGCCTATAATCGTAGGACAAGGAACTGTATTATATTAAAAGTTGACGTGCCTAAAAATTAGCATATTTTGAAGATGATAATAAAGATTTGTCTTAAAATACGTGAACCTGTCATTTTGTTTTTGTCAATCTTGGTCAGAGTTGAAACCTTTCTAAATAACTAATATATATCGATATAAGCACATATTATCTTTTAAGATATTTCTACTATTGAAACCACAAAATTCGCAAAATAATTTTGTTTAAGTTCCTCTTCTCAACATTTCTGTATTCCGAGCTATGAAAACTTATCCGAGTTTTTTTTTTTTTTTTTTTACTGTTCAAAATGTAATGCATTATTTCAGTTAGCGTTGTTTAATCGATCGCTTATAAAAGGAAGGGGTTTAATTAGTACAATCCCACAAAAAAGTTTTGATGTTCCTGAAATTGAATTCAATATATAAATACCGTATATGTGAATTCCACAGAGTTGATTTCGGTCTGGAAAAATCGCAAAATATTCTCATGTTTTGTCGAAATAAATTCAGCGAGCTCTTCACGTGTGTCTATTTCCTTGATAGTCTTTATTAACTCCAAACCCATATCGGAAGAACGCAACGTATTTATGCTACGTTCAATAACGGCTTTGGCATCGGCCTCAACACTTGCCAGACGGTGGTTGAATGTAGCCAGTGTATGCTCCCAATTCTCCGAGTTACCTGGTCTGAAGATGTCATAATCAACACTAGAAAGCATATCATCCAACAGACGATAGACTTTTTTCATCAAATCATCCACAATAGATGGATCGGTTATAAGCGCTTTGAGGCGATGACCGAACAGATTTTCATATTGTATGAAAACACGGCCGATATAAGCGATATCTTGACTTATGTGACATATATGATCGACTTCGGAGAACAGCGTCTGACGATCGAACTCCCAACGTGAGCCGACACCGGAGCTTTCGATATACGAACGACTGGCGAGGTAAGCACTCTTCCAACAGCGCAGCAAATTGGCGCAATTCGTGGCGGTCTCATAAGTGTATTTAGCAGAACGGCTGAAATGAGAGTATGTGTATGAATAAGCAGTTGATAAGATGTAGTGTGGGAGCAATTGAAAGACTAAACGCTTATGCTGAGATTTTGAGATATTCAAGGCTTGTAAAATAATATTGTCGCAAAGTGAAGAAGCTATTGAAATGTCGCTACCAGCAACCGGAAATAAGCATGCTGGAGCGGAATAGGAAAAGCAGAAGGCTGAATACATTGCCATTTACGTTATATATATATATATATAGCTCTCTACATATTTGTACAAGGAATGCAAGCGAAAAGGAATTTGCATGCGACAGCGGCAGCGCCGAAATTGTATTTCGCCAAGTGTTTGGGTAAATTTGCTCAACAGGAAGCAGCGCGTGCTGCAACTGTCGACAGCCAGCAAGTGGCAGGTAACAGTCAGTGTGCTAAGGAGGAAACAGTCAACGCAACACTTGCAATATCCGCCTTGTGGACTCATTCCTACTCCACGAAGCACTCGCACTCGTCGTGCAAGTACCGCAACATACAAGTCAAGTATTTTCGAAAGTAAATCGACAGGAAAATCGCCTCTGACAGTTGTCATGTGCAGTGCCAGCTACACTCTGCCACGGCTAAGAGCACAAGCATTTCGCTCTATGCGACATTGCGACGATTTGGCAGCATTCTCAGCTGCTTGAAGTTAAATTTAATTTTTACGCTTGGCGTAAGCGCTTCACGCTGCCGCAGCGACTTACCTGAATATGTGTTCAAAGCAGATGATGCGCTTGACTTTCTGTATGAAGACGTTGGAGATTTGGCAGAGTAAAACCTGCATCTTGTCGTCGCGGCAGTAGTAGCTGGACATGGTCCAGATGTGGCGTAGACCCACCATTACATTGGGTATGAGTAGCGTTGTCATCTTGAAGCTTTCGTAGTCCCGAATTTTCTGTGAAATTAAATGAAAAGGGTGAGTAACAAATTACAATTGAAAAGGGTTGATTTTAATTGAATGATATTTGTTATGGACTCATCTTAGGAGAAGAAAAGATATTTTTACCTCTAAGTAATCGGTGATGGTCGATATGTAATCCGAATTTTCTTTGGAAAGGTGGTAGTGCTCTTGTAGGACATACATGAAGTCATCCCAGCGTTTGATCATGGGCGAGTTGGCCTTTCGTAGAATATCTGTATTGTCGGAAATAATTTTTTATACAACTTAAGGTCATGTGAGACAGCAGTTGATTCAACGTACCCAAAACTGTTAGCACAAACTCCGACTTCAGTTGTTCCAATGCGGTGTATAGCTCGATTTCACCATGATGCCAGATGCGATAAGCGGCCATTGGCGTGAACTCATCCAGTTGCTGAAATCACATAACACCGTTATTAAATATTCTCAATGCTACCACCGTCACCCACCATATCCTTCAGCGCTTTGATTCTACCCTCCAGGAAATATATCCAACCATGCACAATATCCTCGAGAATTTCTAGTGAGTATGTTGGTATCAAATCTAATTTCTTTACATCTACGGGTATCTTCACTTTTGACTCCTCAAACTCGACATCCTCTTGTCCCGGCGCGGCATAGCTGGTGGGCAGATCAAATGCGCGCATACTGTGCTTCGTTGTCCACTCCACTTCGCCTTCGAACTCGCTCAGTTCTTTGAGTAGATTTTGCTGGTATGGCGGTAACTTCTCTACCGTACTTTCCTCCTCGAGGCGCTGGCGTTCGATCGCCTCGTTCGTCTCACGCAACAATTGTTCCCAGCGTTCGGCAATCGTCAATTTGGGTTTCTCGGGTTCCTCTGGTAATTAAAAGTGTATAATTGAAATGAGTTAAGTCCCGCAGGATAGCTGGGTCAGGAGTTGAGGGCGGTTGCCAGATTGGTGAGCAGATAGCGATGGACTACTGACAGCCGTAACCACTGCCACTACCAACACATCAAACGCATATTAAACAACCCAAATCAGGGTGTGCTGACAGCGGCGATGACAGCTTGACTTGTTGACACTGTGACCTTAGGGACTAAGCGCGGCCAAAATGTTACGCGCTGACGTCCCTTAGAGCTGCTGCTGCGCGAAATTGGCAGTTAACGGTACTTCTTGGTAATACCGCTTTAATTAGTTACCGCAACTCGGCAGTCCCCACCCACCTCTAGTTTTTTGTTTTTATTTCACACCTACCTATTTGTTCGGAGGACGATGAAGAGCCCACATCGCCGGGCTTTGTTGTTACATCCTCCTGCTCCTCTTCATCCTCATCATCAACCGCATCGCCTTGGCCGTCTTCAGTCTTTCTGCGTGCTTTCCCTTTTGTTAAAGACTCTTTTTTTAGCTTCTCCATTTTTCTGTGCGCCGGAATTTTGTGATTTTGTTAGATTTTCGCGTTGAGATTTTGTGAAACAATTAAATAATAATAATTATTGTTGAAATAGTCAAGCGGCCAAAAAGGTTTAAAGTCACCGCAGAAAAGCGGATTTGCTACATTGGCTTACAAAGCGAATACAGACGCAAAGTAAATAAGAGAAATTAACCAGCAAGAGTAAAAACAAAACAAAAAAAACGCAGAGCGGACAGAAAGGGATGAAAAGCAAAATGGCAAGTAAAGAATTTGTTTAATGAAACAAAACGAAATGGAAATTAAGTTGAAGTAATGAAAAGCTGCAGATAAGCAAAAGGCTACAACAATCAACCGTTTGAGCGGTTGCAGTGTTGGAAACGGAAGTGGGAGGAAAAATGCAATTAACATTTTTGTCCAATGTATGAGGAAAGGCAAAAAGAGCTGTGGTGTATTCTGGTGGGCGTAAATGAAGGGATTGTTGAGTGCATTTGTTTATTTGGTTAGCGGGTTTCAAGCTCAGAAGGTAGCTTAAATTGAATTTTAATATAATTTTTTTGAGCTTGAGTATAAATGCAAAACAGAAAAAAAAAAAGAGAAAAATTTAAAAATGTTTTAAATTATAAATACAAGCCTCGGACTTCTTTATAGTCTATATATTGTGACCTGAAAAAAAGTGAAAACCTCAAGGAAGTCTAGCTATTGAGTGCTTTAAAGAAATCTAATAACAAAATCTCTTAATAATATAAATACCAGGACATCTCTATTCCATATCTCTTATCTAGCTTTGTATATCACCACTAATATTAATATTAAATATAATAGCTAGCCATCCGTTGTCCGACAATGGAAATTCAAATCACGAATGACTGAAACATCTAGAAGGAAACATTGGAGACCCTATAAATTATGTATATGAATGGTCAACATGACGAGCTTAATCAATTTAACCATGTCTGTCAGCACATATGCGAACAAGTCCCTTAGTTTTTGAGATATGGATATGATATTTTGCGAACATATTTTTCTCCCCAATAAGCTACTCATTGCTCGAAATCGCTGATACTAGACCAGAAAAAAATCTATGGAAATCCGGTGCTTGCATGTAAACCACTTTGTTGGCACGGATTTGCGCCAAAGGCAACGTTATTACCTTCAGACCTATTAGTTGCTATAAAAAACGCACTCCTTGTTCTTTAAGCAGAAAACAAATTTATTACAGAATTGTCCCTCGTAGCTTAAGATACATCTTATCTCAAGTCCTACACAATTATCAGTTCTTGTCCAGAGAATAAAATTTGCTCTTAAAACTCTCTTAGTCCAGATTCACATTTATGGTAGGCTATTTTCGGCTGTCGGATATACAACCTTGAGATTTTGTGCGCGCTTTTCTCGAAACTATTTTTTTTTTTTTAAGTCGGTTGGCAAGATTTCTCGAGAACTACTCAATTGATCCTCATGAAATTTTACACAGGGGCTTGGGATACAGTTCTTCAAAACTTGAAAGAAGGGTTATTTTTAGATGCAAAATTTTCAATATAATTTCCATTTTTTTGTCCAAATCTGCCAAAAATTTAATATTCAGTTTTTTTCTTTGTCCAAATTCTAAGTTAAGGCTTTAAACAAAATCTGGAAACGGCGTCGCATGGCCGAGTTTAAAAATTTTTTTTTCACAATTTCTTTGTTAATAGTGTATATTTGTAACAATATAAAATTTAATAAAATATTTAATTTTTTTATCAGAAGAAATTGTTGAAAAAAGTCAGGAAGAACTCGCTTTATGTTTAAGCCTTGACATCTCAGCTCACACACTGTATTATTCCGCCTAAGGTCTCGGTCATAATTTAAGAATGTAACCATTGTCATGGCTTCTTAGGTATTTAAACACTTAAAGTCAACAAATTATTAATCTGCTTCAACAAAACCACCCAAACAGCAAGAATAAACACCGTTACAAATGTAACCGTAAATGTAGCGTCTAAAGGTGTGGGGTGGCGGAAAAAATACGATTAAAAATACAGAACAAAGGGAAATCCTTATCGGATGCTCTGTAATTTATGTGCGAAAAGGGTAAATGTAAAATACCAATGGATTTCAGAAAGGAAATAAACAAACTGGAAAACTGGCGGGCGAGAGTCGTTTGAGCGGGCACAGCATGTAACTACCGATTGAGGGAGCATAAGGATCTGCTGCGCAGAAACACACAAAGCACGACTGTGATAAAAAACAAATGACTCAGAACACATACATAAATAAACCAACAAGAAAGCGTAGCAACAATAAAAACAATGTCGAAATGAAAAGAATGTAGCCAATAAAGAAGACAAGCAATGAGCTGTAAGCGGGCGGGTGGCAATCAACGCGATGAACACAAACGCTTGCGACAGCCAACGCCACTGAGAGCGCGGCTAATACCTACTTTTTCTGTTTAAGTGCGCGCAAACGGAATTCCGAGGGCTTTGACAACTCCAGCAAGCCCGGTCCTGTCTCTTTGACTTCACCCGAGCCGGCACCGGGCCCAGCGCATATATTCTCATCGGCATTCGTTTGCTTGTCGTCGAATTTCGGTTCGCGAAATTGAAATTGAATAGCTTTGCGGCCAACCTGAAAGCAATAATAACAACAAAATGAAAAAGGAGTGTTAAGAAGGAACAAAAGCGGACGCGCACAAGCGTTCAGTGCGTGGTGCAAAGGAGTGTGGTGAAAGGCAAATATCTGTTTGTGTAAAGGCGTAGAAAGGTTGCATGGATCGGATGTGGCGCGACCGCAGCTTACAATATTTTAAATTCTAATTGATTTGCTTCGATAATTTGGGGACGAGTTGACTTCTCGCCGCAGACTTTGGCGGGCATTTTGCGTAGAATTTTAATGTGTTTTCCAACGAAGCACGACAGGCCAATAATGGCGGCGCAAAAGCTCACACAGCGTGTCAGCACTAAGACGCTTTGAACCCAGACGGCAGACTAGCGAGGCTAAACAAAGAGTCGTTGTCCAACAAAAAGTCTAATAACCGCACGAGATTGGCGCAATGACGGCACAACTTTCTATTTGCCTACGCAAAGCCAATCTGCCACATTAATGGGCAATTCGAAGTGGGAGAAAAACTCATACTCAACCAAAAGTACGAGCTGTCGAGCGACCCCTGGCGCGGTCTTGCGGAAAATCGCACCGGCATAGAGGAGAATTTGATAGATGGCTGTGTTACTATGGAATTAATTACAATTCGCCACTTCATTACGTTTCGAAATAATCGGGCTGCGCGGTGGTAAGCACAGCTTTGATTAATTGAAAACTGAATATGCTGCGCAGCAAATGCCAGCGACTTAGTTAATGCAAAATGGCGAATGGTAAATGGTAAGCTACGTTAAGCGTTGTGCGGTGTGCGCCAAACCCTGATTTTCAGCTCCGCACCTTTTGGTGGAGCGCGTGGTTAATGCTGGAAATTAAAATTGCATAGATTAATTTTAGTAGCTCGTCAATACTTTGTTTCCATTATTCTTCATTCTATTTACCCGAGCGATTCGTTACCTTACTTTCTTCTGCACACAGACGCTCTTACCCGCAAAGTCCGGTCTCTATATCAGCGTTCTATTTCGCTTATTGCATTGCGCTTTATTCTCAATTCGAGCATTTTCGATTATCTTTCGACAATTTGCAACAATTCATCATTGCATTGTGGGTCCGTCCGATATATGTGCTTTGTACGCCAATCAATTATAACGGAACTTACCAAATTCAAATCACTCTGCAACGATTGAATCACAACACCATTTATGGTGCCAACAATAAAGTACTTCGGCATCTCAGCAAAGCATTCAGCGCGATTGTAGAAACTACCTGGGAATGAGAGAAAATTTGTTGAAGGTCAACACAAGCATGAGAGCTAATAAAATATAAATGCTATGAGCAATAGAATTCGTAATGAACGAAAATCAATGAGCGTGTGATGCAGTATTTGGGTAATAAGCTCATTAATATTAAAAGGCTATGTTACACATGCTATATAAACCATATTTAATCACATTCATATTCGCATTTAATCACATTGTTTACACTTGAGAAAGAAGTGTGTTCAAAAAATAGCGAGAATTTTCCTTTCTTGAAATTGTCCCCATTCCTACATCAGCGCGTCGAATCAGTTCTCAAATATTTTTGGGATAGCCTAAAGGCTAGATGATCTTTAAGTCAATATCATCTTTATTGTAAAATAGCGTCCCCTTATGACGAAGAGGAAGGCTGGGTCGTCGAAACTGTACTGCTTTTGGCCATGAGCTCGCAAACAAATTTTTTATCTATTTCTTTTATTTTCATAAAAATACGTCTAATCTTAGCGGCTGCTATATATAAAGCAAGCAATGAATCCAGCTGAAAATTTAATCGTACTCCAGGAGGATTAACATAATAAAATCATTTTTGACAATTGGATTTTCCAAACTCTTGAAATTTTAAAATTCACGTTTTTCTCTAAACACCGATTCACCATTTCTCTTCGCACTTCTGTTCTCTTGTAAAAAAAGTCCATGTAAAGGCAACAAAAAAGTTATCGAGTTGAATTCGGATACCTCATTAAAGTGGTATGTCCATTATCTTCAGCTCTACCAAGTTTAGTGTTACCTTTTTTGATCAGTTTTACTATTGCGACTAGTTTAAATGTGTAATGAGTTTAACTTAAGCTTAATTTAATACATAAAATAAACTATACACGAAAGAGATTTCTACTAAAAAAGAGTCATAACACCTTTGCGCATGCGTCAGAAGTCAGGTTAGCTCAGGGTTGCATCAAAAGTGCTGCTGATTTGACCAGCGGGTATAGTTTGTTCGATTCGCTGAATAGCAACACTTGGCGAGTCGAGGATAGCTATAGTTCTAAATAAAATCAAAGCGGTGTCATGAAAGATAGCTCCTCCTAGCTTGATCCCTATAACATAAAAGTTATATTCAAGTTTTATTCAATTCAATAAAAGAAAAAGTGTTCAATTGTTTAATTTTTACAAAGAGAAAATTTTAACTTTTGTGTTAAAATTGAAAGAATAAAAAATCATTGATATATATGAATTGATGAAACAAATATGGTTAGTACGATTTGGTCGTTCGTTCGTTATTTATCCACGAAAAATCAAAGTCGTACTCCTGTTTTGCACTGAAACTACAAATTGTGCTGAAGCGGCGCAAAAAGTCCATGAAACTACTCGTATTGGTTTCGAAGAAAAGTTGACTACAAGCATGCCTGATGGATCAAATATGAGTAAAAATATGATTTGGAGAATTTCAACTTAAGACTTGGTTAAAAGGAAGGTTTATACTCGTTTCTTTCCATATTAGTAGACCAAACATGTGAATGAGTTTTTGATGAAAATTTTTTTGATTTTTCTAAACAAACACACCCTGTCGCCTAATCTATCACCATGTGAGTTTTTTCTATTTCCAAAATCGAAAACCAACCTGAAAGCAGCATCTTATGATTTTGTCGCAGCCATTCAAGCAATCGTAGCCGGCCATTCATGCGAAGAACATTTCTAGAAATGATATAAAAACAGGAAAAAATCGATGGTTTCAAACATTGCATTGAGTGTAGTGGAAGCAATTGGTGTATATTCCATCATCTGTATACAAAACAGGATATATTAATATTACCAGGAAGTTTGTAACATCAAAAACGAATCGTCGAAAACAATATAAAATATAGAACTATTAACATACTTAAGGCACTGTAAACTCGGCTTTAACCGCGTAAGTGGTGTCTAACCCAATAAAAAAGAAGACGTGAGCGATTAATCATGTTCTTCTGTCTCTTCGTCAGATCGTATATATATAAACTAGTCCCTAAGATTTTGAGATATCGATCTGAAAATTTGCCTACGTCTTCACCTCCCGCAGGTGATGCTCGTGCTTTAGAACTACCGCTATCAGACTCCTATCGATGATGGCAGCCATACAAACTGAATAATCAAAACCGATCTCTTTATGGAAACTTTTTCATTTGGTAAAATATCTTTACAAAATTGGGTACAAATTATTGCACAGGTCTATGCAGAAATTTCTGAGTATGTTGGTCAGACTGCGGCATAGAGCTGTTATAGAAAGGGAAAACTTAAAATCATGTTTTTGTAAAGAGTTTTTCGTATTTATGCATGGTGTTATAGCTTCAATACAAACGAACTTAACGTTATTTCTTGTTGAAGTCTTTGATAATATCTATATCGATTGTAAGACATTGCTTAAGTTATTGAACACTGCTTTACTTACGTATGCCGTATGGATCTTTGCGCAAAATATAAACGTATCTAATATTCGGATCAAGATTGCTGGCATCAACATCTCCAAAATGGCAATGGACTCGGGGCGTTTTTACATATTCCTGAACAATTTTCTGTAGAAAAAGATAGTATTAATTAAAATGAAAATAGTAGTGGCACAAGATGTATGGAGCTCAAAAAAGTGAAAATATATTTGAGCCGGTTCAGCAGGTGCAATTAATTTATTCAAAGGATCCTAAAATAATAATTTTAGTGCTTTTTTTATGATAATATTTTTAAGAGTTTTCAACTCAATAAAAGAAGGTGTATTTATATTTAATTTAATAGAGTTTCTTGATACTTCTATTAACTGATTATTGAAAACAAACATGACCCTCAACTTAATACACACACTTCTCACATTAACCTTCAATTTCTTCTACTAAGCAATGCTCAACGAAGTTCTTCCACCCCCTGAGCATATTTAGAGTTTTCAAACCAGCTTCTTTCGTTGTCGAGCTTAGCAAATGATTTGTGCATATTTGCATAACTTCATAAGAAGGTCCAACAAAAGTTGATGAAATTCCCCAAAACTTTGTACAAAAGTGCCAAAAGAAATAGTGAACTGGCAATGCGTTGGCAAAGTTAAACAGAGAGTTATCGAATTTGCATGCAAAAGAAGCCGAAATCAACTCAGGAGCTTATTAACAGTTTGAAGGTAATGCACAAATAAAAGCCTGGTGGCACCACAAACTCCAACACGCAAGCATTACTTAACGCACACAGACTCACCTTCACTTCCACATACTTTACAATTGGCTTCTGCGTTGTTCTTCTGCGTGTGGTGCGCCGCTTCTTCTTACCACCTTTTTTGCTGGCGGTTTCTGTGTTTTTTTGTAATTTGGAGCACATCAAATCCGTTCGTGTGATGGACGAGGCGTTCAAATGAGTATGAAAAAATTAGAAAAGCGTAAAGTTATTAATTTATGCACTCACACACAACATCATAAAAGACAATCGAGCCAACCGAAGCCAAAGGAATTGCAGGGAAAGTAATAAAAATTTTATGCGGTAAAAGCGAAAATGTTTGCCGATATGTGTATATATATATATATATATATATATATATATGTGTGTGTGTGTGTGTGTATGGCAGCGGCAAGTAGCTTTGAGCGGCTCAAGCGTGCACAATGTGTACTTTGGTCACTGCTATTGTAGTTTCGAATTAAGTGAACGCTGTGCAAATGGCTTTGTTGCAAGTTTTGTGTGGCAAGTACATACTGAGTTGCAGCAATTGGCTGGCGCTGTGAAGCCACTTTAAATGAAAATGAACAGGAATATGAAAATCAAAAAGGCTTCCGAAATGGAAAAAGTTGAAATGGAAAAATTGCCAAATCGCAAACTAAATAAAAGAAGCAGGGAAGGCTAAGTACGTGCGCGATCGGGGTATGCCTTCGTGATAATGTTGCGTGACCAAACAGACCAGCCAACAATTTTTTCGTGTGAAGTTTGATCTCGAAATGACAATTTCGTATCCCTTGGGTCAATGTTTGAGCAGTTTCGAAAACAGAAAAAAATCACAGAAAGATAAATCTAGAAAATACCGTGGAAAATGTTATATCAATTTAGTTTATATAGACCAGTCCGGGTCAAATTTGACCAAGAGTTAACAATCGCTTTAATTTTCATATAATTGATGTATTTATAAATTGATGAACTTGTGATAAAAATCAATTTCGGACCAGTCCGGGTCAAATTTGATCATGAGTTAATAGTCGCTTGCATATATTTTTCTTATAATTGATGGGTGATAAAAGATAACTAGAGTTAGAGAATTATTATTTTTTTTTAAGTTTATCGTGATGCTAACCAATAAATATTGAGTTTACAAATTTTATACCTTTTGGTCGAAATGCTCGAAGATTGGAATTAAAATATTTTGAACCAAATTAAAATAATCGACTTATCGAATGTCAGGTTACTTTGGGAAAGATCTTAGTTTCTTTCCCCTTAAGTGTCTAAAGGTCTTTATTTCTAGTTGTTTAATTTATTTCATTTTAGTTTTTGTCTTTTCAAGATCACCCACGAATAGTAGGTACTTTTTAACCCATTGTGACGCAAGGCAAAGAAACTACAGAACAAAGTGACCCATTTATATAACTGAATCATACCAGAATCTCTTTTCCACATAAGTTACCATTGAGTAAACCAAAGTGGAATGCACTGCAGCCCACACAACACCCGGGTATAAAAATATATGTAAGTGAAGCGAGTGACTAAAAGTTGATGAAAGAAGATTGAATGCAATATGAAAACATTGTCGTGACAGCGCTGCGACCAGGTAAGCGGAAGAAGAAGCATTCAATATTAGCAGAAATTAAAATCAACTCAATCATGTTGCATAATCGGCAACGCTTACCAGACTTCGGTGAAAAGATGAGAGCGGATGTGTGATTACCATTTAGATAGACTACGCTTGAATTTAGGCAGCACAGGGTGGCTCAAGCAGAGAGTGTACAGGTATATGTACAGAGGTACGTATGTATGTATGTGAGAGTTTCGCAAATTCGTGAAGATTCTGACAATTGTGACGTTCACGCGTACTGACGCTGTAAGGCGAAATAATCATCACTTTAGCGAGCAAAGTTCTCGAACACAAGCACACACTCACACACCTTCACAGAGAAACACGCATATACTGCCTGGCATTCGAAAAGTTGCATCCTTCTACGACGGTGGCGGCGGTATGCCACAACTTTGGCAAGCAATGTTAGTAATTTACAACGTTGCAATTTTGAATGTGCTGCATAAACTACTTTTGACTGCTGAGCTACGGCATTCGCCTTCGACTTCACATGCACGCGCGCCGCCCGACGTCAAGGCCACGCCGCAAATCGAAAGGCTGCGCCATTTTTGGCAGCACTCCCGATGGATTGTGCGAGGTGTTGCGCTAAGGAAAATGCAGCGCGTTTACATTTGAGCTGCACGCTGATGCGGCAACGTTGTAACCTTCCGCCAAGGCGCACTTAGCGGCAATTAGTTGTGGCAAGAATGCGCTGCCACATAGCGGTAACATCAAGATTAACTAAGAGCAATGTCCATTTCATTTTCGCCAACCACAAATTGGATGCAACCGCGCTCTGCTGCGTTGCGCGGCATTGCGCCGGGCAGCAAGGACAAAGTGGGCAATAATTCAGCGAATCAAAGTCATAAGAAAGGCAAAAGTGCATAAAAGAGGGAGAGAAAAAGCGTGTGCGATAAGATCTGAAAATGCAAAACTCACAGGGAAACAAAAGTGCGAAAATGGTGAAAATTACAAAGTAAAAAGACGAAGAGTTATGCAAAGATGAATAGTTAAGAATCAGCGTTGGAAAGTTTTCTCATAATTACCATCGTCATCTTCATCATCGCTGGCTGTTTGTCATGATGGAGAGAAGGAAAAAATTATATCTTTGTTATGTAAATTTAAGCTTATTTCTAGGACTGTAATTTTATCTGTGTCTAATTATTATATTTAGTCTAGTACTTGGTCGTATATGTTTGAAAAAAAAAAAAAAAAAAAAAAAAAAAGTTACCTAGAGGCTTGACAGTTTTTTCTATGCTCTGTAGGTACAAAATTAAACATTGAAACTCTTATATTCACTTGTAAGTCAAGTAAAATGCGTTTTTTGAAGAGGCATTTCATTTAATAAATAAAGAAACAAAAATAAAAAAAAAACAAAAGCTTCGGATGCCCTTGATTCCATAAGAAACTCCTAAAAAGTATCTAGTGAGGAAGACTTTTTTCCTTAAGTCGATCGGGCCAGTTGTTTCGGAGAAAATTTGTTCACTAACTTGCCATGTTTTGATAAAAATTCGTTTAAAGTTTTGGCAGACACATACATACACTAAGTTAAACAAGTAAGAAAGAGCTAAGAGTATAACCGAATATTTCATGCTCTTGCAACTTGCAAGGAATGATGCCGGACTTGTACTTGTTCTTTCAGGTACATAAAGGTTGTTAGTTATATGGGGTATGGAGCGAGTTTGCATCGGATTTTATTCATTAAAAGCACAGTTATACCGATTTTTTTAAAATTATTTACATTTTGGCCGATATAAGCGGTATTAAGTCACTCGGAATTTCGAAAATCCTTATATTAGATTTATGTGAACTAAGGAAAGTATTGACCCTATTCAACACATTTTAGACACACATAAATACTACTGACAGGAAATTACTCTCTCTATCTCAAAAATATATCGCACAGATTGACCTGATATTTTCTGATTTTTTAAATTTACAAGTGAATATAACGCTTTTAAGCTTCTCAGCGTTTAATTTTATAACTGGAGCCTCATACAGTTAGGAGCGTCAAACAAAAAAAAAAAAAAAAAAAAAAAAAAAAAAAAAAAAAAAAAAAAAAATATATATATATAGATATAATTACAATCTTGAAAAACCTTTCACAGACATTTTTGTAAATATGTCTTTTTTTTATAAATATTTTCATTTATCCAAGAGTATATACTCCTATATTTTTAAATTGAAACATCATTTTCCTACCTGTTCTGACTGAGCTCACAGCACTTTGAACGCCTTCATCGGGGCTTTCGACTTCGTAGTCTGTCGTATGACCACCCTCTGTTGTTGTCGTTGGCGCCATGCTTGTGCCACCATCGGTGTCGGTGATGCCACCAGTCTCGCCGGGTGACTCTTCATCCGTCGTTGGTTGCGCTGCTGGAGCTGTTGACTTAGCAGCTGGTTTGCCTTTCCCGCCTTTTGAGAAAAGTTGCGTAAAGGAAGATGAGTATGTAAATATGAATATATTTTTGTTGAAATTAAAGGTATATGTTGTATTATTTCTTTTATATTTTTATAGATTAGTAATGTTATTTAATTGAATGCCGGAACTCACCTTTGGGTGGCGGTTTGCCTTTCTTTTTGCCTCCCTTTTCTGGTTTTGAAACTCTTGGCGGTGGTGGCTCAATTACTAGGGGAAAAAATTGTGTATTTGTCAATGAGTGGTTCATACATTTTAAAGAAATTTGAATTGTTAGAAGTAGTATTTACTTTCCAAAAAAGAAAATATATTTACTGTAATTCATCCTCTCTTCAGGAAAACGTTTCAGAAACTGTGGTTTTTCCATTAAACACTGTTTATAAACAAGAAATTTTTTAACGTAAATTTGCAACAAATCGTCTTAAAGATCACTTTTTGACATATGATATAGCCAATACAGATTACTTTCCGTAATAGCTGAGGCGATTACTGTTTTTGCCTTGACGTTTAGAAAAGTTTGTTATGTCTACACAAGTTTTTAATAGTCATGATAAAAATATGTACAATGGAACTCAGACTTCTTAGAACAACCTAATAAGAAAATTTGAAAAAAATTTATTTATTTATTTATCCTTACATACGAGCTTTGTAATGTAGCATGCGCTTAATACAACTTTATTGGATTAGTTTAGGCTGGTTCCTAGGGCTGATGTTCACACCGAAGGTGCTGGATACCACTTAGATAGTTGTGAACGCTGATCTTTTGTGATTCCCAAAAATTTAATATATGGATCAGACCCTTATAGATCAGCGTGGTGCTTCGAAATTAACACGGCTGAGTTACAACCTATTGAAAGGTATTCAGGGAGCAGTTCAATTAGTTCAAACAGCTCTATAAGTTCATCTTTAAGCACATTTTTCTTGAAACAATCTTTTTCGATTTTTTTGCAGTGACAACCTTGAAAACAAATAATCCGATCACCAATAATGAAATTTTTTCTGGCTGTTCTGTATTCATTTCTACATACAATGATCTATCAGGTCTTTGATCTGATTGAATTTTGTTGGCAGGTCAAACAGGATCATAAATTGTGGTAGAATTAAACTTTTTTATAGAACGCGGTCATTCAGCCATTCTTTGATTTTTTTTTAACATTAGTCATTGCACGGAGTATTACTTCTAGTTTAACGAAACTCTTTTATTTTCAGGCTTCATCCACTGCAGAAGTGTGGAACTTACTTTTTACTGCCGTTGGAGATCTCGCATAACTTAAAAAAAATTTAATTTGTTTTTTCGAAAAATTTCGATGAGTGTCTTTAAAACACGTATAAATATACCTTGAAAATTTCAGAACTTTTAAATACCCAAAAATCGGCGTTGTTTTCTCTTAGTGTGTACCTAAAAACCCTTATCTTTTTACTAACCGTCCATGACCATAAAGAAAAGTGAATCAAACAAATTACTCGTATAAATACTTTATATGGTCACCAAAACTGCTAACTAACGTAACATCACTTTTCATAAGTTTACAGGCGAAGAAAAAACCATTTAAAGAAACCAATCATATTGAAACAAAATATTGGTTATATCTGAGAGCGGCAGCTGAAAATTTTATGATATATGTATGTATATATATATATATAAATATATATGTAATATGATGTAGTAATCGTAAGCATTAAAAATCTCAATTTAAAGTTTTTGGTGATACGTTGTTTTGCATTTTACGTGGTTATATAATGTTTAATTTCAGTATATCCAAATATAAATGGTATCACACTGAGGTGCTCATGCTATCCAGTAAACAACTTTAAATTCATTTTTATACCCTAAACAGGTTATAGTAAGTTTGACAGAATGTGTGTAAAACTTAAAAAACTTCGGAGATCCTTAAAAAATATATATTTAAATGATCAGCATGACGAGATTTTTCGATATATAACGGAAGAACTAAGGTTATTGAGATATCGAACTGAAATTTTGCTCACGTACTTTCCGGCACAAGAAGCTGCTCATCTACCAGATTCCTCAATATTGAGCCATAATAGCATATACATCATATATATAGCCGCCATATTAACTGAAGGATCGAAATCAAGTGCTTGCATTGAATACTCTTTCATTTGACGAGTTAACTTCACGAAATTAGGCAAAAATTATTGCCCAAGGCAATGATGCATTATCCGAAAAAATTGTTCAGATCGAACAACTATAGCATATACCCGCCTTACCGGTGGAATAATCAGGTTCTTCTAAGGGATTTTTCGATTTAACCGAAGTTGGCGATTTTTCTCGTTTTATAGTAGAGAAATATTTATTTAATAAGAGCAGCATTGCGGTGAATCGAACACTCCAAATAATGCAATGAGCGAAATATCTGAAAATTTAAATTGTTATATTTACCGTACCATGATTAAACACTCTCAAAACTATCGAACATTCTGTGCTCTCGCACATTTATCGAAATTCCCAAATATGATAATAATTTAATATGAAAATAATTTAATTGTTGTTGAATGCTTGGATTCTAATTTACAAGCTAACCCTACAATTAGTGGGGTACTTAATAAATGTGAATATAAATGCAAACATGTATACAATTATATAGATTATTATACCAGCAAGAGCCCTTTGATGAACAGTTATAGTCAACCACAATACCACAACAAAGCGTGTACAACCAGCTCAGCACCGCCGGTCGACAAGAACACCCGGTAGCTGAAACTTCTTCACTAGGCAAATTGCGTCTTCCAAGAAACACACATGCGCACACACATACATACATGTACACAAATAACTTCAATAACGGCGATGTGTTGCTAAGCTGTTGTAATGCGTACCCTAACTGCCACGAAACGTGCTACCTATCACCCCTCCAGCAAAGCGCTGTCGAAAGCCCACTGCCAGCAACAACCCGCTTTCTTTTAACGAAGACTTTACTGCACCGTTGCTGCAGCGCATTGTTGCACGTGCAAATAACACTTGTAAATAATTGGAGTTGCTGTTTTCGCAAAGCTGCCTGTGTGAGACTCTAGTAAGTTTGCCCTGCTGTGGCATGTTGTAAATGTGCTATGCGCGCCACGCTGGCGCAACTGGGCCAAGCAACTGTGAGCGGTGGCACCTGCAGTTTTGGTATTATTGTGGCGAGCCTGCTTGCCATTACCAGCTGCTGGCAGCTATCCAATTGTTGTTGCTTGCCGTTGTTGTCGCCTGTAGGCTATCCTCATTTTTGACGTGCAAGCGTCGAGTCTACTGTCTTCAAACTGCTTAGCTGTCAATCATACTTAGCTGTGTTCCTGCCGGTGCCCTCTACTTCCTTAGGGTGCACATATGTTTTACCTGCTTTACTGCTCTATTTGAATTACACAACCCGACCCTCTCAAATATTGCCTTGCAACTGCAGGGCCTTGTCGCATTATGTGGCACATACAACTTTACGGGGTGTGTGTGCAAATGCAAATTGCGTGTTTGGTCAGTGTTGAGCTTCATCAGCGTAAATCCCTCAACAGGCGTTCACATTGGACACCTTTAGGTGTAGCCCTAACGGGAAATGTCTATCTATCTATMTAAATGTAGCGATTCACGACCATTGCTGCTGACCAGCATACTTGCAATACGATGCGTGCATATGTGTGCAGTAGACGTGTGTTTGCGCGTACGAAGGAAGCCGAACATGCTGGAGTTGCGGCTCAACTCTTCTGTTGCGGTCCAGGTGCACTATCTGTTTATGCAGCACTTGAGATTGTTGCAGTCAGAAAATTCAATGGGACAACTAAGATGGTGGTAACAGAACTTTCAACCAACACAATAACTTAAGACTCAGAGTGGCGTCGTAAGTACAACAAACTTTGCATTCGTGGCTCCTGTGGCACATATGGGCTCTACGCTCACAGCCCTACGACACACACAGTCATTCATATCTACTGTTAATCCCCCGGCATGATTTCATTATAAAACCCGCACACCATACTCACCCTCTTCCAGCACTGTAATCTCCTTCTCGACCATCTTGTCATAGTAGGTGCGCCACACCGTCAGCAACAGCAATTTTATGTCGGAGTTTTTTAGACATTTGTCGTTCAGAAAGTGTGTGAACTCCTCAACGTGATTATCCATCAATGCATTCACACTTTCGGGATCGTAGACGCCCACCATATTGCTGATGATGTAACGCAACCACAGTAGCCGGTTATCTAGTTCCACAGCCATGTGTGACTCCATAGTGGCTAGATTATTGTTACAATATTGCGGGTGTTGCTAATACCGTTGGCAGTTGTTATTGTTGTTGTGGTCTGCTTTCGCACAAATCGAATTGGAATCGTCAGATCAGCTCTGATTGCAGATGACAAATGTGTTGCAAGTTGTTGCAGCTGAAAGTGGAAAGCAGGATAAAATCAATCCAATGCAATCACTTGTATTCGTTGTTATTTTCGGTGTAAGTAACAATCGGTGCGATTCGTAGAACATGCAAATCAAAATGTAAATCAAACTGAAAATCTATCGATTGTCACATGCCACATTGGCAGGTAACGCAAATCGAACTGAAACAGAGAGAAGGAAGGGTTGAATAAAAAACAGTAACAAACAGTTTTCGTTTAATATTTCGTTAAGTTGTTGATGCGTTGTTACATGCGTGTCTATTTTAAATTAAATATCAGAGCTAAAAAAACTTGAATGAAGCGATAAGGGTGATGAAGAAACAGAGTGGAGGGAACATTTTTTAAGAGTACCAAGGTACCCAATAGAGAATGGACAGCAAACTGTTATTGCCATTTATAACCTCCAAGCGGGTGCAGCCTGAGCGACGGACGTCAAGCAAAGGCAGGTATTTATTTTCAAAAAGCAAACGAACAGTCGGGTCTACGTAACCGGAATGGACCCGAATTTGTATCCGGCCAAGGACTGTCAACTCGGCTGAGTTCTGCCGCTACAACAACAACAACAACATCGACTAAACTAAACGCAAATGTCGGTAAAATGTATATGCTACAAGATCTCGTCATGGCATAAGTATCATATCAAGTACCTGAGTGTAGTTTTCAGAAAGAGTAAAAAGGCACCACAATTTCACGCAGTCGCGATGTTACTGAAGTCCACTTAGGACATATTGCTTATACAGTGTTGTTACATAGCGACCATCAAGCCAATCGTATTTACGATGCTTTGGTATGGCCAGTAAAATCTCAAACTGGAAATCGTTGACCGAATACAGCGGCTCGATACTCTCTGCATAATAGGAGCAATAAGAACCGCTCAAACTGCCACCAAATAACATTGGAAAAATACTTAGGGGAATTAGCTGCCAGATTCCACAATAACCTGCGGAAACGGGTCGATTAGCAGTAATGCTTTATCTGGGAAAGAAGTTTTCGAATCAAGATAAAAATGGCGCAGGGAGAGACGATCCATCAGCGAAACTCTTAATGGATGGAAAAAAATTGGCTGAAGAAGTAGACGCTGGTATCTGTCTATTACGCGGAGCTGGATCTGAGGAGACTCTTACAGCTGCGCAATACTACAATATCTTCCAGGCAAGAGTCTTTGCGGTCAGAAAAGCTGCTGAGCTACCTAACAATACAAGCAACGTCCAGCAACAATTAAGCCAATAATCTTACGTCGCATTGCGTCAGAGAACGTCATACACCCTTTTTTAGTTTATTAAAATACAAGAGAATAACTTTGTGATCCGAATTCAAACAGAGCGATTCGAGTACTGAATCGAAGGTGGCTAAAATTCTTTATTTTTGGATGGAGCCATGTTTAAAAGTTCCCTGAGCGTCATTTAATCGGGAGTAACCATAAGCGATTCTTTTACATATTGCTCAAGTAGTTCACGACTTCTGGTCTTAGACCAAGTATCCTCTGGGTAGCCAAAAAACATCACTTTGAAGGCGAGCTAAATTAAGAAAATGGAAGCGAAAAAGTTCCTAATACCTTGTTAAAAAAATACTGAGTGCATGTATAAATTCTTCAGGCCTTTTGAATCTGAAGTGCCACATTAATCGAGATCGGTCGGTATACAAGTAACTAAAAATTTGGTCATTTTCGAACAAACGCGGGTGAATCTCTATTTGACTTCGGAGTTAGCACAGGTATTGGTAAAGTCCGTTGGGGAAAGTGAGTTAAACACTCTTTCGACACTTACTTACTACTGTACTAAAAATACAATGGCTTGCTCATTTCGTTGAATATCTGTCCATACAGAAACTAAAGGTGCATTTTCATATATGTACTTATGTATATATCTGTATATATAAAAGAAAGATGTGTTAGTTACACAATTTATAACTCAAAAACGCCTGAACGGATTTGACTGAAAATTTGTGGGAAGGTGGTTCAGAGCCTGGGTAAGGACATAGGATACTTTTCATTTCTTTATATTAGAATCCAAATCAACTCAAAAAAAAACTATTTCAAATTATAAGTATTTGTTAAAAAGTCATGTTTGTAGGCATCCTTTGAACATATGTGTACAATTTTAAACAGATACTTCCTCAAAACTAATGCAATTGGTAAGTATTTGGAACAGTAGAAAATTAGTGCAACCAAACAGACAGTGAAATAGATTATAACTCTCTCAGTAAACCAGCCGATTTTTTGTCTTTCCACACCTGAAAACCGGTTCATCATCTGCAGTCCACTAGAATGACTGTCGATTGGACTCCAGTGGGAAATGATGGAGCTACGTTTCTATTGTCACACACCGACGCAAAAATTCGGTTTTATTACGATTAGAGAGCACTCAAACACTTCTCAGAATCAGTTATTCGTTATTTTTGTTGGATTATGAACTTTCGAGGCACCCACTTTGCACAGAGCTTTCGCCTCTTTAGAACATCATTGTCCTCAGTGCTCATTTCGCCTGTTTCCAGCTTAGCAAATTCAACAGTATTTTCCCCCAAAAAGTAATGCTTTATCAATACACGATTATGATCCATTTTTTTATAAACTAACGCAAGTTGCTTCACAAAAATGCTATATCTACTAACTAATAGTTAGAATCCAATTAATCGAAATAATGTAGATGGTAGTATCAGCCACAGTGAAGCGTGGACGGGTCCTCAAGTATATAATTATTTAACAATTTGTTGACGTATCAAGATTTTGAATTTGTCATTGGATGTTGTCAATGTGATACCGAAATTGAAGCGTGTTCTTTGCAGTCAATATCACGCGTATTTACCATATTACGAAGGTCTTTACGCATTGCAGTGGCATCTTAGTAGAAACATGCTCTCTTCCACATGAAGTGGATAAAAAATTTGCATACGCATGAATGCTTAGAAAGCATTTGAAAAGAAAAACATTATATTGGAAGAGTGATGAGGAAATTTAAATGCATCAACAGTTGTTGCAAGGTGCTATGAGTGATGACAAGTCAATAAAGCACTTTGCAACAATGAGCGGCAATCAAGAATAATACAATAAGGGAGTTATTACCCCCTTACAAACTTTGAAGTGACTAAATATGTTGAATTTGCTCAATCAGGCTGATTATGATATCATTCAAGAAACAAAGACCTAAAATATGAAACCGATTCGTTGTTGACCGATAAATGCGATATCAAGTCAGCGTGAAGTTCGAAAATCTGTTTATTAGTTATATGATAGCTAAAAGAAATATTATTCCGATTCAATAAATTTATTATATAGATATAATCATACTTTTATCAGGAACGTATTTTCTGCGAATATCAGTTACATATCTCACACATTGATCGATATTTTGGGAATCAGCTCATTTTCAATTTTAGAGACTTAGACAGTTCTAACAATTTTTGGAGGGGAGATGGCCACCTTAAAGTTACTTTTTTTTGAAAAGTTGTATTTCGATTTATTAATTTGAGCTTTTTGTATACTGGAAAGTGAAAGTACAAGACCGTTATATACGGAGTAGGCGGGGTTATCATTCACCTACATTCACACTGTCTTAAGAGGTTTTGAAAAAAATTGCCCAGTGAAAAAATATGGACTTATACTTTGAATAAAAAAATTAAATTTGTAAAGTTTACGGAGATGATGCTGTATCAGTTAATGTAGCACAACAATCATTCGCTCCCGTTGTGGAGCTTTCTATGTGAAGATGCGCCTCACTCTGGTCGACCTATCGTGGAAAAAGTCAATGAATTATGGAAAATATTGATCAGGACCGTCACATAACCAGCCATGACACTTAACATTCATCAGCAAACGGTTTGGAAACGTTTAAAAAGGGTGGGCTATAAAAAAAGCATGATGTTGGGGCAAAACAAGAATTGTCTGTAAAAAAGTTTAAAGGACTGAATTAAAATCTGCGATTCTTTGCTAAAACGATGTGAAATCGAACCATTTCTGAAGCGGATGTTAACAGGAGACAAAGTGGATCAAATACGACAATAATGTGCGAAAAAGGTCATGGTTCAAGCGTGGTGAAGCAATTGATTTTACATTTTACTGTCAATAACTGATGAAATTTAAAAGAGCAATCGAAAAAACAGCCAAAACTGATCAACAAAAAGGCTTCTTCTTCCATCAGGACAATGCAAGACCACTCATATTGATGATCATTAAAGCTCATCATAAATAAAAAAAAAAATGAATAAAATTAGTAGAAGTTTGATTAGAAATACGAAAAGACTTTCTACATACTATTCATATTACTTTATGTTTATCGCGATTAGTTTTAAGTGAATAGAATATTAGAAATATTAATTAAAAAATATAAAAACAGGTTTACGGTTATGAGCCGTGCATATATTCTATTATTATATTATTACATTTTTTGGTGGGAAGGTCAAGATGGCCTATCATTCACCTCTTAGAAGACTTTAAAACCACTTCTTTTTCTTATTTCTTTATTTGACAAACACGCGCGCAAAATTAATTAATACTTCTCAGAACTCTCGCATTATACTACGTGCAAATATTTTCATGTTTATCCTTTATTTTCCAAAAACTTTTCACTTAGTTTTTTTCACATCTACTTAAAAGCTAGACACATTTCCATCAACTGCCGATTTCAGTGTGACTTTTTGTCATACATCACATCAAAGTTTACAGACATCATTGTCACATCATCCGCACTTTTTCGTCGCATGCTATATTATTATTGCACTTATGTTATTTTATTGTCTTTTCTGCTTATATTTTGAAGTTTTTGTTTTTCACAATTCATTTTGTTTACTTGCGGTACTGTCAGCTCGTTTTGTTTTTACTTTTCCAGTTTTATTTTTATTTGCTCTTCTTGATTTTTGTTGATTTTGTATTCTACTTCAATGCTTTTTCGATTTGTTTGTGTTTATGAATTTGAATTTTCTGCTTGCCTATGCGCCACAGTGTATGCCAAATTGT